GAGGAGGAGGAGGAAGAGGAAGAGGAATAATAATTCTAAGACTTAGAAGAATAATATCAATACTAATACGGAGAATACGAATAATAATATGAGTAAGAAGAAGACGAATCATATTAAGAAGAATACTAATACTCACCAGAAGACTAATACGAATAATAATAATACTATTACACATAATAATAATACTAAGAATAATAATACTAAATATAATACTACTTATAACAAGAAGAGGAGGGGAACGAGAAGGCGCAGGATGAGGAGGAGGGGGAGGAGGAGGAGGAGGAGGAGGAGGAGGAGGAAAATGAGGAGAAGGAGGAGGAGGAGTATTTGTTTCATTTTTTATCATCAGGCGCGGCGCAAAGCGTGCAGGGCACTGTTAGGCGACTCGGGCACGGACCGACTGAAGAAACGAAAGGGCCCGAGCACCTCCCCCTATGGGGAGTGCGCTTGCGCAGCCATCAGGCCTAATTACGCGCCGTCGGCGCAATCGTCCTCGACAACCAGGTCTCCGACCAGGGCGTCGAGTGCGAAGTCCGCGGACGGCCGAGGCCTACCGTGGCCGGTGGCCACGGGCAAGGGCAAGCCAGTGCGGGGGTGCTGTCCAGCCCACACGCGTCCCAGTCGGGGCCGCGTCTGCGGGGGACCGGTCCCCAGGCAAGGCCCACGCTCCAAACACGGTGGCCGCCGCCTGGCTTACATATAGCAGGCGTGAAGGCGCCTCGCGCCCTAGCGACGCGATAGCAGCGGCCACGGCGGAAACCCGCGCCGCACTGCACGGGCTCGCGCGTGCCTTCGGGCAGCGCAGTGTCTGCCGTCAGCTCGGGGACACGGCCTCGCTGCTGCGCGCGACGCAGGTGGCCGTGTCGTGGCACATCGTGTTGGTTCGGTTCTGCAGAGAGCAGCACACGACCAAGAAACTTGGCGACAAAGGTCACCAGCGAAAGGAGCGCCTCACGTGCTCCACCGCCACCTCGTTGGCCCTTGACCTTGGTCACGGTGACCCCGCCCCCCGTGACCCCGCCCCCCAGGTCATCCACCCGATCCCAAATGCGAGGCCACAGGTCCGCGGCCTCACACTGTGCGCCCGTCGTCTCAGCGCGCTCATGCGCGAAGCTTGAGACCACCCAGGCGCCGTCCGAGTAGAAGCAAAAGGGCCCTATAGCCACATGCGTCAAGTACATGAGCAGGGCGAAGGCCTCCGCGAGATCCGACGCCTGGTGCGGCCCGGGTAAAAAGGCCGCACAGTGAAGACACCAGGCAGCCATTGGCGTCCACTTGGACAACAGACCATCCCGCTCTATTGATTCGGGGGTCGCCTCGCACAGGCGAGGCGCAGGAGCCGTCACCGAAGGCCTCGCCTTCGATGCTACCAACGTCAGGTCGCTTGAGCCACTTGACGAGGAGGGAGGCCGCGGGGCCAGGGACCGAGGGCCGAGGATCGGGGACCAGAGCGTGCTTCCAGAGGGCCCGGGCCGAGTGCGCCCCGAGGGTCGGCCCGCTGGGAGGGGGGGGAGTTCGTACTCGCGAACAAAGGCCCACGTCGTGGGGCATCCGCCCGAGACCTACGCAGAGAAGGTACCTGGACAAGATTCGATAACGAACAGTGGGCAGGTCGGGCTGGCCACCAGGCCGTGACGATGTTTCCGAGCCGGGTCCCAAAGTTGTTCGAAACGATCGCGCGGAGAGTAGCCCGGTGCCTCGAGGTCCATTCGGGGCCCAAGGCCCCAGTGCAAAGGCGACGGAGGGGGGCGAGGTAGGGTCGGGCGGGAAGGGCGGACATGTCTTCCGTGCGCAGCCGCGCTCGGTCCAGGAGCCAATCTTCGGTGCTAAGGCGCGCGAGGTGGAGGATCGAGCGAGGGCAGGTGGTGGTGAGATCAACCTTGAAGCCCTCGCTGGTAACTGACATGCGCGCGCCTGGGCCGAGCTTCCAGCCTATGCGCCTACGACCGGCCAGGCAGAACTCGGCTCTCGAACAGCGGCCCACTCGCTTGGTGCGCCAGCGCGGGCCTCCAGGGCCGCGTCGGATGCAAGGAAGAGACGGGCGATCCACCTCCGAGAAATCCAAGACTCCCAGACAGCCTGGGCGGGCATATATGTCGGGCTCACGGTGCACGCGTGCACAGGGTCGACCGACCTCGGCGCCGAGAGGGCGAGGAGGGGGTCTCAACGTGAGAGAGCGACGGGCAGTGCGGACGAACCGAGCCGAGTGCGCTGCCCGTCGCAGCGGTTCGATCCCGTTCCAGGCCTTCCCCGCCCCCCCGCCCTCCCCACGTGCGGGCGGGCGTCAGTCCGAGTGGGAGGGGCTGCTGCGTTCTGCCTCGCGCAGCCCTGATCGCTCGGATGCGGGCCGAGCGCCGTGCCAGCGTGGCCGAGCGCTTGGCCCTCGTGGCCGTGCCGGGCCGCCTGCCGCAGGCGTAGTCCGCGCCCAGGTTCCGCGCCGGTCGGCGGGCCTTCCCGCGCAGCGCCGCGTGGCGCCGCGTGACCTCGCGGCTGCGCTCGGCGGAGTCGGCCAGCGCCGCGCCTTCGCCTTCGTTGACCGCCAGGCCGTCCTCCAGCAGCCCGTGGCGCAGCTGCTCGTAGGCGAAGCTCACCTGCGCAGCCGCTCGCCTGGCCATGTTTGCCTGGGCGAGCTGGATGTCGCCTGCGACGTTGCCCAGCTGCGCCGTGCAGAGCGCGGCGACCGCGTCGAGCCTTGGCATCAGGAACAGCCGCGTGCAGAGGTCGGCGAAGATGCACCCCGCCACCGCGCCGCGCAGAGGCTCGCAAGCCAGCGTGGCCACGCCCTGGTAGCACGCGATATCCCGTGCAGCTGGGTCCGCAGTCGCATCATGACCATGTTGAAGCCCTTCTCCTCGGCGCGAGCCAGCAGTAGCGCCCAGGGGATGTGCTCGTGCGCCTTCATGAGGTCCATGAGCACCGTGCAGGCAGCCTGGCCGCGGTGGGTCGCCACCTCCGCAGTCGTCGCCTGGATCCACGCACAGGTCTCGCAGCTTGGCCAGCCGTGCCGTAGATGTAGTCGCGGTGGTGCAGCGAGGCCCACTGCGCACCTGCGGTGTTCCAGGCACACCTCGTGAAGGGCCGCAGGGTGCCTATCAGCAGGCCGATGGTGCGGACGCCGCCATCGGACATGGGGGGCAGCGCCATCTGCGTCGCAGCCAGCGCGCGAGGCGCGCGGCCGAGCTGTAGCATCCGTCGCCTGAATTCGAGGCAAGCCTCGAGCGCGGCGTCGCTCGGCGCCGTCATGTGCCGTGGGTGGAAGGCATCGCATTCTGGGTCAGTGATGTGCGGGAACGCGTGGCCGACCTGGCGAAGTTCTTCTGCGGTCGGCAGGGTGGGCAGGGGCCCCAGCCCCGCAGGCCAGGCCGCAGCTCCACTCCCCGCGCCGTCTTTCCAGACCGCGTGCCGCGGCCTCGCGGCCGCGTCGGCCACCGGCCGCGCAGACTGCCCAGCAGCGGGCTGCCGGCGGTCCGCAGCCCATGGCGCAGCTTACGTTTCCAGCGGAAGTCCTTGCGCATGCCAGCGCCCGCCGTCACCTCGCGCGCCCGGTCGAGCCAGGCCTTGCACCTGCGGTGCGACGCACGGCCTCCGCAGCATTGGCAGCGTGCTGGAGGTCCTGCAGGAGCTCGTCGACGACGGTCTGCGGGAGGAATTGCAGCTTGCGGGCCAGGCGGCGCCCCGCCTGCCAGAGCTGCGCGTCTGCCCATTCGACGTGGCTTGAAGCGCAGCAGCTGCATCTGCAAGCGGCGATCATTGGTCATGCTGCCAGCCTGTCGGAGAGCTTGCCACTCGCGTACCCGCTCGGCGAGCCAGCTTCAGTGCTGCTCGGAAGGAGTCAGCCCGAGCTGTGGGCTGCCACCGTGCGCGCTGACGGTGGAGCTGCACCTGGGCCACGCGGGCGCCCTCGCTCCTGCCTCGGTAGCGGTTCGCCTCGCGGCCTTCCACCAGGCCAAAGTGCTGCGCCAGCTCGTCCTCGTGGCGGTCGAGGACGCGGCCGCGGGCGGCTCCGAGCCCCGCTGCAGTATCCACCGTGTGGAGATCGGCGAGCACGCCCAGCCAATCGGGCGGAGGCAGCTGGGGCCCGATTATGGCCGCGGCAGGGTAGGGCCGCGGGCGGTGCAGCCGCGGGACTGTGGCGCCAGGAGGTTGCATCGCCAGGCAGAGGGCCGCCGCCCGATGTGCGCGCGCGGAGAAGCGGTCGCGGCGGCGCGCGTGCTGCACCTCCGAGAGCACGCCGACGCAGAATAAGTCGAGCTCCCTGGCGGAGGTGGGCGCGACGCAGGTTGCGTAGCTCGAGCAAGCCAGGCGCTCCCCGATGGACGGCGCCAGGTGCGCCTCCTCGAGCACGGCAGGCGCCATGGTCCAGTCGGCCCCTACGATGAACGGCCTGTGCATTGCCCGGATCACCGGGCCCATGTTCATCAGCAGGTCGAGGTTGAGGTCGCTAAGGTCCTGGCTGGTGCGCAGGTGCGCGGATGCCAGGAGCGTGCCTTTACGGGCTCCAATGGACGACATCCAGTAGCCCAAGCGAGCTCAACACCGAACCGTGATGCGGTCGTCGGCGAACTCAAAGCGTTGAAGGTGCACCCATGGTTGAACCAGGACCCCCCGCCCCCGCCGAAGCCTCCCTTTGCCGTGGCCACCGCGGGGATGAGGTCCGCCACCCAGCCTGCGCGCCGATCAGCGCGCACCGCAGCAGCCAGCTCCCTCTCGTCCGCGAGGTGGTGCTCCTGGATCAGGATGGCCTGCGCCTACTCGTCCACGCTGCCTTCCTCGAGCTGGGCCAGGCGCGACGGCCAGCTGGTCGCGTTGACTGTCATGACCTCGAGGTGGGCAGGGCGGCGCCCAGACTTCCGCCGCGCCATTCGGCGGGGGGCCCGCGCGCCGCAGGGCCGCTCCCCAGCGTCTCCGTCACCGCCAGAGCGGTCGAAGCCGTCGCGCGCGCGCCGTGGCGGGGGGCCCGCGCGCCGCGGGGCCGCTCTCCAGCCGCGTTGCAGGCTCCGCCCCGCTATGCAGCGCCATGCGCGTCGCGAGCCCCTGGCCGAAGGAGGTCACGTGGTGGAACGGCGAGCTCGTCGTGCGGCCCCGGCGGCCTCGCCTCGGCGAGTGCCGCTTTGCGGCGGGGGGGGTTCGCGAGTTCCCTTCGGAGCGGCCACTATGGCCTCCGCCCCTCGCGGATCGACTTCCGGCTCGGCCGCCGCCGACGCCGCGAGCTCCCCGAACCTGTGGCGGAAGGGAACCGCGAGCAGGAGGATCCAGTCCAGGTGGTGCCCGACGTAGAACCGACCTGGCCGACGTGCCGCGCGACGCACCTGAAGACGGATGACATGGCCCGTGCCCGCTTCGAGGGCCACCCCCGTTGACGACGTTGGAGGTGGCGCCGTGGGGGGTGGTGGGGGGGCATAGTCCGTTGGGAAGGGGCCAGGCCATCGGCCGCCTCCCGGCCTGCAGACGTCAGGTGGGCAGGCTCGAGGACGCTGGAGAGGATGCCGCCGTGGTCCCCCGCCAGGTGGGCCACGCCATGGTCGGCCGCCGAGTCCTGGGGCAGCTCGTGGAGCCACGCCTCTGGGTCGTCCACTCGCATGCGGTCCAGCCCCTGCCGATCTCGTTGGCGGGCAGCGCGACGGCGGCGGAAGGCAGCTGAGTAGATCTCGATCGCCATGTCGATCCGCGCCGTGTCAGTATTAGCGCGGCCGTCTCTCTGCGCACGCTCCCAGACGAGCACGTTGAAGTGCTGGTGCTCGAGGTAGCGCGCGACGAAAGGGACGCAATGCTGACGCCAGTGCAACCCATCAGCAACACCATCATCGATCATGGGGCCCTGCAGCCAGCGTCCTGTGTAGGACCTCAGGCCGCGCTGCACGTCGTCCAGGTGTGCCAGGGCCGCGCGGCGCGCAGGGGCCGCATTGTTGAACGCATACTCCCCAGCCGAGTACATCGAGTCCAACTCCCACTGGATGCAGTTCCCTGACGCCTTGCCCTGGTCGCGCAGGCGGTCCCGTCGCGTGCGCTTCCGCCGCTGGGCGTCAGGCGCAGGGGGGGGGGGGGGGGGCAGCCTGCTGGCCGCTGTCACGCGCAGCAGAGCATTGCTGGGCATGGCCTTGCGGAAGCCGTTGGCATGATTCAGGCTTGCTGTCAAAGGCCCGACCTGCCTTCATCGGTCGCCACAGGGATGTCCGCGGCTGCCTGTGTGGCGCCGGCTGCGCCGCCGCGCGCGCCCTTCGCCCCATCGCCCTTTGCTTGCTGCGGCGGCCTTGCTGGCGGCGTTCGCAGCCAGGCGCTGGCGGCCCGCCTCCAGGGCGCCCACGGCCGGCGCCATTGTGTTTGCTGGGGCCGCTGGCTGCGACTGGGCGGGGGCCTCCTGCAGGCTGCCGGAGGCAGTGGCGGCTGCAGGCGGCGCAGCCGCAGCGTCGGGCGGCTCGGCCGCGGGCGCTGCAGGGGCAGCGGCCGCGGGGCCCTCGGCCGCAGGCTTGCCGGCGGTAGGCGCCTCCTCCGCTGTGCGCCTCTTCTTGGACTTGAGGCGTTCCCGCAGCTCGCGATGAGCATTCTCCAGCGCCTGGGCCTCGGTCTTGAACTGGCCGAAGACCTCCTTCGCCATGGCCGCGAACCTGGCCTGGAGCTCCTCGCGCCGCCGCTGCGCCTCCCGGCGGTCGCTCTCCTCCACCTCGTAGTTCTCCAGCGCCTCCAGGCCGAACAATCCTTCGTCGTCGAGCGCCTGCGCCGCCTTGCCCTCGAGGATCGCCGAATCGCTGAGCTTCGGGACCGCGGGGGCCGTGGGCTCCTGGGCGGGCGCCGCCGCGACGGCCAGGGCCTGCGCGGCGTTGGTGCGCGCCGCGTTGGCCTCGTCGAGCGCCGTCGTGCACCTTGCTACGTGCTCGGTGGCCAGGGCGAGGCTGCGCTGGAGCTCATCCGCCTCGCCGCGGCGGCCTCCAGGGCGGCGGCTGCAGCGTCCCGCGCAGCGCCCGCCTCGGCCACGGACAGGGGCTTCGCCATCTGCTGGGCCCTGAGCGCTGCCAGCTGTTTCTTGTGCTTCGCCTCGCCCTGTTCCGTCCCCGAGAGGCGCAGGAGCTCCACCAGCTGCACCAGCTTGGCCTCCTCGGCGTCGACGTCGGCCTCCAGGTGCGTGGCGCCAGCCAGTCGGACACCCAGGCTGCAGCTGCGCTGGCGCTCGCCTGCGGCGGCCACCAGTGCCGTCAGCAGCAGCAGCGCCAGCGGGAGCCAGCCGCAGCGGCCGCTTGCAGTGGCAGCGCCAGGACAACCAGGCCTCAATTCTTACGGCAGCCGCAGAGCTCGCAAACTGGGCCCCGCGTGTGGCCTCCGCCTGCGGCCGCCATGCCGCCGCCGCCGCCGCCGCCGTCGCCTTGGGCCGCAGGGTACGGCGCCGCCGAGCCGTGGTGGCCGTCCAGGAGCGCCGCGGCGGCCTCCAGGCGACCGCGCTGGCGGGGAGAAGGCGTGCCCCGCCACGCGTGCAGCGGCAGCCTGGCCGCGGCGCGCTCGCTGCGGAGGCGCCGGCGCCACGCCGCCTCCGCGGGCGGCGCGATGGTCCCCGCCCGAGGGGGGCCCGCGGCGGCCTGCCCGCCCCCAGGCCCTCGGGCAGAAACTGGAGGAGGAGGAGGAAAAGGAGGAGGAGGAGGAGGAGGAGGAGGAGGAGGAGGAGGAGGAGGAGGAGGAGGAGGAGGAGGAGGAGGAGGAGGAGGAGGAGGACGAAGAAGAAGAAGAATAATAATAATAAGAAGAAGAAGAAGAAGAAGAAGAATAAGAAGAATAATAATAAAAATAATGAGAAGAAGAAGAAGAAGAAGAATAATAAGAAGAAGAAGAGGAGGAGGAGGAGGAGGAGGAGGAGGACGGCGACGGCGACGGCGGCGAAAACGAAGACGAAGACGAAGGCGACGACCTCCTCTCCTCATTGGGCACGGGCTGGACGGGGCCAGGCCAGGCTGGTCGCGGGGAGCCTGCACTCCGACTACCCCTACGGGGAGTTCAAGGAGGGCATGGACGGCCTGGCCGCCGCGCGCCCGCAGGACCTCGGGGGGCCCCCTCGGGGAGGAGCGGGAGGCGAAGGGCGACGAACTCCTTGTCGTCCTCCCCCCTTTGTCCCTCGTCCACGCTCCGTCCCCCCCCCCTCCGTTTCTCGATGTCACCCTTTTTGGGCCAGCCCTTCTCGCCGTTCCCGGTTTTACATGCTTTGTGGCGGGCGCTTGCAGTACTACGTAGCATGTCCTGCTGCGTCCGAGCTCGGTGGCGTCATCCGAACCCTACCCCAACCAGCCATCCGTTCTCCTGAATCCATGGGAGGCGAGGGTAGGGTCTGGATTTCGCCACGTAATCGACGAAGTTGGACCCTGCTGCTACCTCCCTTCGAGTTGCCTGAGCCGTTGGTCGGCGAGGGTAGGGCCTTCGAGCCGTTTGGGGGTCTGGGGTGGCCTAGCACTGGTTCTGGGGTGGCCTGGCACCGATTCTCAGGAAAATATGCAAAAATATGGGAAATGGGGGGGAAGACAAAGCCCCCCAAACTATAGGAAAATGTAGGGAATCTTTCTATTTGTGAGTATTTATTTGTGCGTCCTGGGGCCCCTTCAAGGACGGGCGGGCAGGTTCGAGGTTCTGGGTTCGGGAAGGTTTGCCCGTTTCGGCCCCTGGTTGCCGCTTTCGGGCCCCAGGGCAGGCAAAAAAGCGGATCCGGGTGAAGAAGCTACGCCCGATGGACCCCAGGACGGGTCCAGGGGCCGATTCTGAACAGACTTGGTTCGTGTCCCCTCCTGATCCAGGGTCTCAACCAGTTCAGACACTCTGGCAGGATTGGGGGAGGCATGTGGCGAAGGCTGAGCGGTAGGGAACGCTGGGCTGGCTCACACCTCCCGAAGATGTCTCGCGCGTACCACGCGGTGTGCGCGTGTCTTGGGTCGTGCACTGCGAGCCGCAGCCGCATCACTGCTAGGAGCGCGAGGCAATCCAAGCGACAGAGCGCTTGGCGCCGGTGTAACATCACTGCCCCAAACGGGCTTTCCCCCACTCCGAGGTCGGAGTATGGCCGTTGACTCGCACACGTGTGGTCTTCACGAGCCTGGATGCGCTCCAGTCGTCAATCTGGTCTGAGCTGCTGCACCTCGAAGCGCTATTCACCCGAGAACGAGGCCGAACACTGACATATTCGGGATCAGAACTGCGACCCAAGTGCTGGGTGATAGACTCACGTTCGGGCTCAACCTTGAGCGACACTTGATACGGAGGTGGATTAGGACGATCGTGCCATTGGTGATGACGATGGTGACGACCGTGGCGATCACGGTAGTGCTGAGGACGACGACTGTGATGTTGACGATTTCCATGATGATGATGATGCTGATGCTGATGATGATGATGATGGTGATGATGCTGATGATGATGGTAATGATGATAATGGTTGTTATTCTGAAGCTGATGGTGATGCTGACAATGATGTTGATAATGCAGATGATGGTGAGGAAGGTAATGCTGATGCTGATGATCCTGGTGATGATGATGTTGGTGATGCAGATGATGAGGGTATTGATGATGATGGTTGTGGTTGAATCGATGTCGATGATGATGCTGCTGATGATGATGCTGCTGATTATGATGATGACGCAGATGATGTTTATGATGATACCATTCATATATGACAACGATGATGATGGCGGTGATTATCATGATGCTGATGATGCTGCTGCTGATGATGCTTACGATGACGATGTCGATAACGATGATGACGACCATGATGATGATGCTGCCACTGATGCTGATGATGATGGTGGCGCTGATGGTGATGATGGTGCTGATGCTGATGCTGATACTGATGATGATGGTGATGCTGCTGGTGGTAGTGGTGATGATGATGGTGCTGATGCTGATGATGATGACGATGATGCTGCTGCTGATGATGACGACGACGATGTCGATGATGATGGCTATGCTGATCATGATGATGATGCTGATGATGATGACAATGATACTGATGCTGCTGATATTGATGCTGATGCTGATGGTGGCGCTGATGGTGGTGCTGCGTTTGATGCTGATGCTGATGATGATGGTGATGCTGCCTGTGGTGGTGATGATGATGTTGCTGATGATGCTGATGACGATGATGCTGCTGATGATGACGACGATGATGATGCTGATGATGACGATGATTATGCTGATCATGATGATGCTGATGATACTGATGCTGATGCTGATGCTGATGCTGATGCTGATGATGATGATGACGAAGATGATGGTGGTGATGATGATGGTGCTGATGATGATGATGATGCTGATGATGACGAAGACGATAATGATGCTGATGCTGCTGATGATGATGATGATGCTGATGCTGATGCTGATGATGCTGATGATGCTGATGCTGCTGTTTCTGCTGCTGATGATGATGCTCATGCTGATGCTGATGTTGATGCTGCTGTTGATGCTGCTGCTGATGATGATGCTGATGATGCTGATGGTGCTGATGCTGCTGATGATGATGCTGATGACGATGCTGATGATGATGCTGATGACTGTGATGATGCTGACGATGATGATGATTATGATGATGATGATGATGATGATGATGCTGATGATGCTGATGATGCTGCTGCTGCTTATGGTGATGATGCTGATGATGCTGCTGATGATGATGGTGGAGATGATGCTGCTGCTGCTGATGATGATGATGATGATGATGATGATGATGATGATGATGATGATGATGATGATGATGATGAGGCGGACGGGGTGGGGCGGGGGAGAACGAACACGAGAAAGAGGAGTGTGTGGAGGGTGCAAAGAGGGCGGAGGAAGCGGTCGTGGACGAGGAGGGAGACTGGGGCGGGCGGCGTGGAGACGGTTGAGTATCGGGAGGGTGGAGCAGGAGCGCGTTGATGGTGATGAAGGGTAAGATGTGAAGGACGACGAGGAGGAAGGTGACTCACCTCTTCCTCCTCCTCCTCCTTCGCCTCCTCATTCTCCTCCTCCTCCTCCTCCTCCCTCTTTTCGCGTTGCACAGGCATCGGCGGTATGGCCTTCGCGTCTATGGAGGCGTGCACGATCAAGAATGCAGTGCGGAGGGTAATACGCGAAGTACGAGGAGGAAGGTGCGGCAAGTGAGGATGAGGCGACGAAGAGGAAATGAAAGGGGAGGCCAGGGGAAGGCAGGGGAAGAGGAAGGGGGGATGGACGGCGAGAGGGAGGATAAGGAGTAGGAGAGAAGCTCCTCTCTGTCCCCTCTCCCCCGTCGCTCGTCCCTTAGCCCGTCGTTTGGCCTCCAGGCGAGCTGACGTCGCCTCGAAGAGCGATAGCTCTCAGGTGATGCCGCATCGGTTTCTGAGTTGTGTTGCCTAGTGTGGGCGTGCCCCGGGCCAGCATGGCAGGCTCAGAGGTGAGTCGCGCTGGAAGGGGGTAGGTAGTAACAGTGGTAGGCGGAGAGACGGAAGGGAACGACGAGAGGGACGTGCTGGAGAACGTTGGGGTGCAGTCGTGCGGAAGGGGCGGGCCGTGCCGTGGGGGCGGAGGAGCTGGGCGATATGGGGCCAGATCTCTGGAGGCCACTGGGAATCCCTGGAGGCTCCCCGGGTCCGCGGGAAGCAACGGGGAGCCACCAGCGGGGCAGAACAGTCAAAACATGAAGCGTATGTGCGTGCGCAGAGTACGCGTCGGGAGAGCTCGCCAAGGACAGCGCAGTGCTCTGCGGGAGGCGGGAGAGACGAGTGATGACCTATCGGAAAGGACGGAGGGAGAGAGGAAGAGGAGGAGCGGGAACAGGACGAGGAGTGATCAAACCCCGTCTCGTTGTTTGTGATCATGACGGGAACGTTGACATCCGAGCCAATGTATTCGTTCCTTGTGGAAGCCATCTCCGTGGACGAAGCAACCCAGGCGTTGGCATAGGAGGCGTGTCCTTGAGCGTGCAGCTGTTAATTACCCGGATGACCAAGGCTCTGTGGGAAGAAGACAAAGGAACTATTGTTTGTCATGGTGACTTGGGTGATGATGAAGATGATGGGGATGAAGTATTATTCAGAGGACAACGTTTACGACGAGGAAGTTGATGCTGACGATGATGGTGATGACGGTGATCGTGATGGTGATGGTAATGATGATGCTGGTTCTCGTGGTGATGGTGATTTTTCGAAGATAAGAATATGTTGTTACTGTTGATGATGATGATACTGCTACTGATGGTGATGGCGATGGAGATGGCGATGGTGATGGTCCTGGTGGTGGTCGTGGTGATGATGATGTTAATGATGATCCTGATGATGACTTTGCTGAGATGATGATTCTGACGACGATCGGATGATGATACTGGTTATGAAGAGGGTAATAATGATGAGGATTCTGGTGGTGGTGGGTGCGGCGCTGCTGGTGATGGTGAGGAGGAGGAGGAGGAGTAGGATTGGATGATGGTGAGGATGATGATGGTGATGATGATGATGCTGGTGATGATGATGATGCTGCTGATGATATGATGATGACGATGACGATGATGATGATGCTGATGATGATGATGATGATGATGATGATGATGATGAGGATGATGATGGTGGTGGTGGTGGTGATGATGATGATGATGATGCTGATGCTGATGATGATGATGATGATGATGATGATGATGAGGAGGAGGAGGAGGAGGAGGAGGAGGAGGAGGAGGAGGATGCATACGTGGATGATTAGGATGAAAACTCTTGATTCTGACGACAGTAATGAAGATGCTCTGGCGCGTCTTAGTCCCCTCGTGGCGCCCCATGGGTGCCGTCCCAGGCGATCCTGGGGGCCTTCTGAGCCGCCTGGGGCGCTCTTGAGACCGACACGCCGCGTCTACGAAGTTCATGCAGTACACACACCTTCTTGCTCGTTGGAGCTATTGTGGCCCCTCCGGCCGGCCGCTAGGTCCTCCACGACGGCCCGCGGGACCCACGGGAGATCGCGGGCACGTGTCCCTGAGGCCATCTGAGAGCATATTCGAGGTTTACCCAGCAGTGGCGAAGCGTAAGTAACATTCTGTGATCAGAGCAGTCCTCTCTAAAAGCATCAGGTTCGACGAACCTTTTGTGGCTGGCGCGAGATGTTCTCAGCAAGTGTCTGGCTGGGACAGCTTGGTTTGAATGTCTCTTGGCAATGGTCTTTGGCCCATCCCGCCACCGTGCCTAGAACGTGGGTCAGAGTTCTCAGGAATGCTTCGGGTCTCTTCCGAGCGCTCTCGGGAGCCTCTTGGGGGCAGTTTGGGAGTCTCTTGGAAGTCTCTTCGGGGCCTCTTGGGGGCCTCTTGGGAGCCTCTTGGGGGCCTCTTGGGAGCCTCTTGGGGGCCTCGTGGGGGCCTCTTGGGGGCCTCTAGGGAGCCTCTTGGGGCCTCATGGGTGTGCCTCTGGGCCGAGGGCTCGAAATGTTTGCTCGGGCTGCTCATCCGGGTCTCCTCTTGGAGCCGTCTTTGGGCCCTCTTGGGCCGTCTTGGGCTTCTCTTGGGCTGTCTTGGGTAGGGGGCTTACATGCGAACCCTACCCCTACCCCCCGCGATTTCTGAGGGGGAGGGTGGGGTTCACTTCGTTCGGGAGCTCCCGAACGAGGCGAACCCCACCCTCCCCCTCAGAAATCGTGGGGGGTAGGGGTAGGGTTCGCATGTAAGCCCTTAATCTTGGAGGCCTCTTGGGCTTGTTGGAGTGCCGGGAAACCACAAAGGCGAGAGCGCAAAAGTCTGTCAACGACCCACGGACACTCAATGGTTTGTACCTTTCGGGGCTTTCTCGGGAGGCCGCTTGCCAGGCCTCTTGGGGCGTCTTGGAGGCCTCTTGGGCCGTCTCGGAGCAATTTTGGGTGTCTTGGAGCGAACTTTAGGCGTCTCGAGGCACTCTTGGACCATCTTGGGGGTCTCTCTGGGCTTGGCCCGTCATGGGGCTCTCGTGGGCCTCAATAGTCATGCGGGAAGCCGCGAGGACCCCCCTGAGAAGCGCGCCAAGCCCAAGGAGATTTGTGAATTCGGTAGCAAATCGTGAGAGCCCTGTGTACCCTCGCAATTCTGTCTTTAGCGTCGATTCACGTCGAGTTAGCGTCGATGAGCGTCGATTTCGCGTCGACTAGCGTCGATTCGCAAGAGCGGACAAGATGGTATGGGAGGCTCCCACGTGTGGCTACAGAACTTTGTGCGCACCGCCACGGAGAAAAAGCGCCATACACATAAACCGTTGGCGCTCCGCGCGGATCTCTCGGGCCTGCGCCGGGACCCCCCTGGCGGCGCCTCCCGGCGCCATCTCTGGAGAGCCTGGCGCGCTCCGCGCGCCAGGGAGGGGGGGCCAGGTCGGATCCAAGAGGTCCGCGCGGAGCGCCACGGGTTTGCGTTGGTGAAGCTTTTGCTTCCTCCTGTGGAATGGGACGGAGCCGGGGGAGGGAAGGAGCAAGGACCTCTGATCGGGGCTCAAGGGACGGGGGTCGATGCAAGAAACGGTGGCCCGCCAGAGCGCCGGATGTTGCAGGATCCTGCAGGGCCAGGGGTGCACTGAGACCCGGGCTTGGGTGCAGGATCCTGCAAGATCCTTCAAGACCTGATTAACCCGGGTTTGGATTCACCCGGGTCAGTGCGTCCCCGAGGACCTCTAGTTTCGTTGGTCGATTTTGGTCATGGGAGGCCTTTTGGTCTTGAACAAACCAGGCAGGAGCAATCCATCAACCTAGATCTTCCGCCAAAGAGCGCGATATGGATCTTGCGTCTTGCGCTAAACAATTCGATCCTCGTCTTGATTCTTTGTCCTCCCCTTTGAGGACACCAGCGGCTGGCAGTTTCCTGAAGGCGACTCCCCCCCGACTGGCGCGCTTAGGAGGAGGGGGAAGAGGTGCGGAAGAAGGAGAAGGAGGAGAAGGATGAGAGAGCGTGCAGGATAGAATGCCCTCCAGGGGTTCGTGTCGGGCCCCGGGACCCATAAAAAACAACTCGCGGCGCGAAATGCACGCGAAATAGGGATCGACCACCAGATGGCGCTGCAATTTGAGGCCTGCGGAAATTCAGAATCTCGAGAACATCACGTTTGAGATGCTTGAAAGTTAGTTTGTCGTCAGTACTCACGGTTGAAAGTTTGAAAGTTTGATGGTTGACACGTTGGGCAGAAGCTTCGCGTATTTCCACCAGAGTGAGTTCGCAAATTATCTGGCTCTGTGCCCCAGTCAGCCCGATTGACACGCCCTCTGGACTCTTCCTTGCGGGCCGCAGATCAAACAAACAATCCACCAGCGCCAACGCTCTCGCCTGCTGGCGGCAGTTCCTTGGCCGACGGTCCGTTGGACCACCCTGGTTCTCGCGCTTCGCCGACGTCCAGGGCATCGCCTTTGCATTTCTCCGTCCTACCTCGACTGACGTTTCGCTGGCCACGGCCACCCTGGTGCCCACGCAGTCGTCTGAGGTACGGTATCGCGTTTTGTCTCGGAGTTGTCCCTGGCCGTCGTTGACTTCCCGACGTTTGGCGCCTCCGACGGACTTGCAGCTTTTCGCGCTGGCAGTTCCCCTCGGTCTCAGTCCCCTCAGCCACCCACCTGAGGCCTCGGCCGCGCTTAGCCGTCGCCTCGCGCGCTGCTCCGTTCTATTTCTCCCGTGTTTCCTCTGCCTAAGTAGTCTCTGCGTAGCCCGCTATGACCAGACTCGTCGCCGGCGCGCTCGCCCGCGGCCGCTGAGTAAAAAAAGTAACTTCACCAGCCCACCCAGAAACGATGCCCAGAGGAATTGCCTTGATCAGGGAAGTGGGCAGCACACAGAGGAAGGGTCCCCCAGTGGAGGCCTCCTGCAGCGTCTCGGGTGCCTCGGAGAGCGTCTCTTGGGAACATCTTGGAGGCTTCTTGGGCGCCTGTTGGGGCCTCCTGGGCGCCTCTTGGGGCCTTCTTGAAGCGCTCTTGGGAGCCTTGGGGGCGCTCTTGGGGCCATCTTGGATGACATGGATCAAACAAGCAGCGAACATTAGTTAGCGTTGCCCCTCGGGAGCCCAACACGTCGCCTGTTGGGGCGCTCTTGGGGCGCTTTTGGAACGCTCTTAGGCGCTCTTGGAGCCGTTCTGGGGCTCTCTTGAGCCTCTTTTGGAACCCTCTTGGGCCATCTTGGAACTATCTTGAGGCTTCGGATGGCCATCGGAAGCGAAAAGGCGAGAAAGCCAAACACACATATGTTCCTAAGGTTTTGGCCTCTTCGGGGCCTCCTGGGGGAGCTCTTTGGCCACATGGAACCGTGTTGGAGCGGTCTTGGGGCATCTTGGAGCATCATGGGAACGACTATGAGACATTTTGGGATCTTTCGAGCCATCTTGGAGGTCATCTTGGGCTTTCCCAGGCGCTCTTGGAGTCATCATAATCAGTGCCCCCCCAAGGGGCCAACATCTGATTAAAACCTTGGTATAACTAATCACTTGGCATTCTCGTAGAGGCCTCTTGGAGCATCTTGGGTGCCTCTGGGGTGTCTCTTGGGGCCTCTTGGAGGTCTCCTGGGAGCCTCTTAGGGGCATCCTGGGGGCCTCTTGGGGCTTCCTGGCCAGCTCTTGGGGCCCTCTTGGGGCACCTTGGGGGCCTTGGGGGCCGTCTTTGGGCCATCTTGGGTGGGATCGATCACAGGAGGGGGTGTCCCTAATCAGGGCCCCCCCCCTTCAGGAGGCCAACATGGGGCCAACACCCGGGTAAAACCAATGATTTTGGCTTCCTCGCCGAGGCCGTTGTGGACGCCCTGACACCTCGCGAGCCCTCCCGTCCAGGTCCAGGGGACGGGGTAGGGGGAGGGACAAACCCTTCCCCGAAGGGGAGGAAGGAGGTTGGAAGAGGAACCCCCGTAAACCACCTACGCCCAGAAGGCTGGTGGGATTATTGAATTTTGCAGCCTGCGTTTTACAGTGTCATATTCCGAATTCAGAGTTTCAATCTTCCAACCGTGAAAATGACAAATTGTGAGAACTGGTTTAAACTGAGGAGACGCATCGTCCCAAAGCTGAAAGGATGACAAAAACCAAAGGGTTCACATTCCTGACAGTTTTCAAAGTGTAGCGTTTCTCGGTGGCCGTCTTTACAACCCAGCAGGCGTTGCGAAGTCTTGCTGGGATCTTCAACGTATGGACGCGCGGCCACATGTTCGCATTGTCGTTTCTTGACATTCGCTTTGCCTCCCAACGTATCCGAGGATATACATATAACGGCGCACCGGGTCCGGGGGCCCGGGGCCGGGACCTCGACCACAAATGTGCACCCCGGGGGCCCCGGAGGCTCGTCGGGGCTTGCCGGAGGCCTCCCCGGTCAGACAAGACGGCCCCAGAAACGCCCAAGACGGCCCAAGAAACTTCCAAGAGGCCTCCAAGAGGGCTCCGAGATGCTGAAGATGGCCTCCAGACGTCCAAGGACGCCCCCCAAGACGCCCCAAGAAGCCTCCAACATGCGTCCCAAGAGGGCCCCTAGACGCAAAAATTGGCCCATTCCCTTCGTAAAACGTACATTTTTCACAAAGTTGCCTTTTGGGCTTTCCGACATTACAGGACGGCCCAAGAGGCGCCCAAGACCGCCCCAAGACGGCCCAAGAAGCTCCCAAGAGTGCCCCAGGACAGCCCAAGAGGGCCCCAAGACGGCCCAAGAGGCGCCCAAGATGGCCCAAGAGGGCCCCAAGACGGGCCCAAGAGGGGGCCCAGAGGGGGACCACGAACCGCAAGCTCGAGCCTTCCGCCCCAAGAGGCCGCCAGGAGGCCCCCAGGAGGCCCCTCAAGAGGCCCCAGGAGACCCCAGACGTCCAAGGACGCCCCCAAGAGGCTCCAAGAAGCCTCCAACATGCGTCCCAAGAGGGCCCCTAGACGCAATAATTGGCCCATTCCCTTCGTAAAACGTACATTTTTAACAAAGTCGCCTTTTGGGCTTTCCGACGTTACAGGACGGCCCAAGAGGCGCCCAAGACCGCCCCAAGACGGCCCAAGAAGCTTCCAAGAGGGCCCCAGGACAGCCCAAGAGGGCCCCAAGACGGCCCAAGAGGCGCCCAAGATGGCCCAAGAGGGCCCCAAGACGGGCCCAAGAGGGGGCCCAGAGGGGGACCACGAACCGCAAGCTCGAGCCTTCCGCCCCAAGAGGCCGCCAGGAGGCCCCCAGGAGGCCCCTCAAGAGGCCCCAGGAGACCCCAGACGTCCAAGGACGCCCCCAAGAGGCCCCAAGAAGCCTCCAACATGCGTCCCAAGAGGGCCCCTAGATGCAAAACTTGGCCCATTCCCTTCGTAAAACGTACATTTTCAACAAAGCTGTCTTTTGGACTTTCCGACGTTACAGGACGGCCCAAGAGGCGCCCAAGACCGCCCCAAGACGGCCCAAGAAGCTTCCAAGAGGGCCCCAGGACAGCCCAAGAGGGCCCCAAGACGGCCCAAGAGGCGCCCAAGATGGCCCAAGAGGGCCCCAAGACGGGCCCAAGAGGGGGCCCAGAGGGGGACCACGAACCGCAAGCTCGAGCCTTCCGCCCCAAGAGGCCGCCAGGAGGCCCCCAGGAGGCCCCTCAAGAGGCCCCAGGAGACCCCAGACGTCCAAGGACGCCCCCAAGAGGCCCCAAGAAGCCTCCAACATGCGTCCCAAGAGGGCCCCTAGACGCAAAAATTGGCCCATTCCCTTCGTAAAACGTACATTTTCAACAAAGTTGTCTTTTGGGCTTTCCGACGTTACAGGACGGCCCAAGAGGCGCCCAAGACCGCCCCAAGACGGCCCAAGAAGCTTCCAAGAGGGCCCCAGGACAGCCCAAGAGGGCCCCAAGACGGCCCAAGAGGCGCCCAAGATGGCCCAAGAGGGCCCCAAGACGGGCCCAAGAGGGGGCCCAGAGGGGGACCACGAACCGCAAGCTCGAGCCTTCCGCCCCAAGAGGCCGCCAGGAGGCCCCTCAAGAGGCCCCAGGAGACCCCAGACGTCCAAGGACGCCCCCTACGACGCTTCGCGTCACCAATTTCTTCTCACAGCGATTCCTGGGTCTGTGACTCGACAGAACCTAAGCGCGCGCGAAGCGCGCGCGTGGTTCTAGTTCGATCTAAAACTCCTCCGGCACGTGGGAACTGCGGGGATAGAGGAATAGGAGTTCTGCTCAAGGGTGATTTGATTTCCAGAGGCCGTGGGACAGCCTGTCTTTGCCTTGAAGCTCTCTCTGGGGACTGACCCAGGAGGCCAGAGTCAGCGCAAATTTCCGGATTAAATGGAACGGGAAGGATGAAGGGGAGGAGCAGGAGGACGAGGAGGGGATCAGCAGTAAGAGGAAGTCTCTGTCCCTCAAACCTTTGCCGTCGTCATTCGCCCCTCCCCGTCTCAGGCTTTGTTGTTGGACGGTTTCCCAGGTAGAGGACCCATGGCCTTGGTGCCATTTTCTTTGCCGGCTGCCAAGTCACAGATCCGAGGGGTGAAGATGGGCGACGGAGGAGGAGGAGGAGGAGGAGGAGGAGGAGGAGGAGGAGGAGGAGGATCTGTCCTGCATTTGTTTGGGGTTCATTTCTTCTTTGCCTCCCTCTCGCCTGTCCCCCCTCTGTGCATTTTTGGCGTATCGCCCCCGCCACATTCTACATGTTGTTTCCCGCGCCCATCTCTGTCTGTGCGCCCAGTTCCACGAAAATGGGGTCGGCAGAAGACATCCATGGGCCCACAGTGTGGCCTGATTTGAGGTCTACGTGTTGTTGAAGGCAGCGTTCCGTACGACATTCTCGCAATTTGAGTGAAGCCGTAAGCGCTCGCCGTAAGCTGACGTGCACGCGGTGTGCTTGGCGTGCCTGGCGTGGCCAGCGTGCCGGGCGTGCCTGGCGTGCCAGATGTCCAATCGTGCCTGGCGTGACTGGTGTGCTTGGGGTGTTCCTGGTGTGCTTGATGCGCCTGGTTCGCCTTGCGAACGAAGGTATGCCTTGGCGTGCCCAGTCTCTTTGCGGTGCCCTGGCGTGCTCTTGCAGCCTGCCCCGTGTGCCGGGGCGTGCTTGGGGCAGGCAGTGGGCTTCGTTGTGCTCCTCTGCGTGGCCGGAGGGAGCATGACAACGAGCGGCGAGGAAGGATGGAATCCCGAGAAGGGAGGAGCAACACAGAGGATGGAAAAAGGGAAGGATGCGTGGAAGTAGTGGCACGGGAGCGGCATTTACATTCTTCCTTTTCTCTGCGGTTCCAGGGAGGCGGAGGAGGAGTAGATAGGGGCATGGGGAGGGGACGGATACGAATCGCAGAGACAACGGACGGGCGCGTGGCGCACGCGGAGGGAAGGGCAAGAGAGTGGAAGGAAAGATGAGGAGCGCACGACACGTTTCCGTAGGCCTGAGAAGGCTCAACTACACCAGGGGAAGCACCAATGAGCACCAATGAGTTGGTGGTGGATCTGTGCAAACAGCAGCGGCATTGGTGCTACCTACTCTCTGCTCTCTACTCTCCGCCCTCCAGGACACATGCATACTTCGTCCTTCAAGCAAGGCCAGGTTGCGTCCAGCCTGGGCATCTCACGTCGTAAATCGTACTATGCGGAGCACGTCGCGCGCATTTCCCTTTCAAGGACAACCATGCCATGAAGTAGCTGTATCTGGCCCTTGCATTTCCCACGTAGGTGATTCAACGTGGTGGGCATGATTTCATCGGACGAACTGTTCAGCAACAGTCAGTATGACACAACTCTCTGCGGTCTACATGCGCGCGGGCAAGCCGAAGCCATGGAGCAGCCATAAGCTTTGAAGTCTGACGTATTTGATGGTGCGCCGAAGAAGAACATGCTCAAGTAACAGGATCGAGTCATTGTGCGAAGACGCGCTAGTCATAAACGGCAGTTGCTTGCTCATGAAATCTCATGTGTTGCTTATCCGTAAGGGCTTCGCCCCCTGCCGCCGGCCCCCTCTCTCGGAGAATGGGCCATGGAAGAGCTAAGTCATGAGGCCTTGGCGCTGTCGTGAAGCAGTATCGCAACTTCATGCGAAGCCGAGTCGCAATCAGCAAAACCAACTGATCACAAGAGGGGTTACCACGCCTGGCGATTGGTAAGACGTGTATGGTTTAAGGGCTTGGTTACCACACCTTGCGATTAAAGGGCCGAGGGAGTTCTCGCAGTTTGGGTTACCACGCCTTGCGATGGATGTGCGTGATGGGTTCGAATTTCAGAAATGTGGCAAATCCCTGTGTTTTTGGACCCTGACCCCGCGGATCTGCGTGAGGGGTGGCACCGAATTTCAGAAATGTGGCAAATCCCTGTGTTTTTGGACCCTGACCCCGCGGATCTGCGTGAGGGGTGGCACCGACTTTCAGAAATGTGGCAAATCCCATGTGTTTTTGGACCCTGACCCCGCGGATCTGCGTGAGGGGTGGCACCGACTTTCAGAAATGTGGCAAATCCCGTGTGTTTTTGGACCCTGACCCCGCGGATCTGCGTGAGGGGTGGCACCGACTTTCAGAAATGTAGCAAATCCCGTGTGTTTTTGGACCCTGACCCCGCGGATCTGCGTGAGGGGTGGCACCGAATTTCAGAAATGTGGCAAATCCAGTGTGTTTTTGGACCCTGACCCCGCGGATCTGCGTGAGGGGTGTCGATTTCGAGCCCCCCCAGCAATTCAGACAACGCGCCCAGGGGGTGCTAAAAAATCCTGTTTGGGCCTCCCCCCCCCTCGCGCGGTCAATCAACTAGTTACAGTAACCAGCAAGAAGTCAACTAGTTACAGTAACCAGCAAGAAACAGAACTGTAACACTGGAAACTACAACCTACGACTGGTACAGGAAACTGCGAATCACGGTCCTACAGCCTGGTGGCCCCACAAGGGGGCCGGCGGATCCCAAGCCATGGCTTATCAATATAACCTTGTTCACGTTCAGATGGTCGTGTCGCGCAGGGGACTGCCGCCACTGCTGTATGTTGCAAGCAGCGCGCGTTGCAAGCAGCAGAGTGCCGCCCGGGCCACGCGGTCGCGCGCGCCACTCCCAACAGACGCAATTACACCTTCGCGCTCAAGATTTCATCAACTTGCACGCCTTGCGCACTGAGCCAGTAATCTCAGATCATCAGCAACATCCAAACGATGGCTTGTGCCGCGGCCTCTGCTCATAAAGGGCAGCCGAACGACACGACGCTTTTGCTGAATGGGTGGTTGGGTTTGAGAACGTTTAGGTAATACCGAAACTCAGCACTATACTCGCAGTTGCTGCCCTCAAGTCTTCCCCGTCTGCACTGTGAGCTCTAGACTTCATCCTCTACACCCTATTCTTATTCTCTACCCTCCGCTAAGTGCCCTCCCCCATGGGTCTGCGATCTCTGTCTGGGCCACGCTCGTCCCTCCACTCTCTGCACTCTGAGTTGCATCATCGCTTAAATTTGCCTCGACCTCTGCTGTATGCCCTTTGCTCTCTGCGGCGTTTTTTGTGCTCTGCGCGCCGCTCTACAACTGCTCGCTGCCGTCCGCTTTCTGCCCTGCACACCGGGCACTCCGTCTGCCCTCTCGCGGCCCCAGGAACCTGGCGCCGTGACGGGGGCCCCAGGATTCCCAGGAGCCCATGCCCAGAAACCCGGGAGCCAGACACGCATCTCAGAGGTTGATAGACTTCCTACCGTGACAGGTCGTTTAGCGAATTTGTCGTTTTCGGTTCGCGAGAGGGCGTCGCGGCCGTCATTTTTGTGGGTCCAGGTCCGTCGGTTTCGGTGCTGGGCCGTTTTCACTAAAGGGTGGTTTACTAAAGGGAGGTCTGTCCACCGCCGACCATCCGCCAACCAATCGGAAGCGGCGGCCGGCGGCCGTCTTTCGCCCATCCTTGAGCATCCGCGGGGAAGTCTTCAGCGCGAGCGCCGGTCGGGAAATGGGGGGGAGGGGGGAGGGGAGCCGGTTCCTGTTGCTCGAGTTCTCTGGCCCGCTGTCGCGCACTGTGGGGCCTCGGGCTCTTGTGTGGCCTCTATGGCTTCTATGGAAATCCACGCTCTCCTCGTCGTCGTGGACCTCCTCGTCGTCGATCTCGCCCCTCCCTCCTCCCCTCGGCACCACCCAAGCATGCTTGCCATGTGTGCGTCGGCACCGCAAGCCGCAAGGGCGGCGCGCACGCTGACACATCCCTCAGTAAAAGGCTCCGTGGTGGGCGTCCTCTGGCCATGCCGCTGGGGAAGCGATGCAATCTCACAGTTTGCGTTCTGCTTGTTCGGCTCGGACGTGCGTCGCCAACAGCGACGCCCACATGCCTCCGAAACGTCGTCGCCGTCGTCGTCGTCGTCGCCGCCGTCGTCGCCGTCGTCGTCGTCGTCGTCTTCGTCGTCGTCGTCGTCGTCGTCGTCGACCGCGCCCCTCGACGACGGCGACGGAGGCCGCGCTGGCCCTCCCTAAGCGTGCCGAGGCGGCGGCGGGTGGCAGTTCCCGGCTGACTTCCACCAGCCGCGCACGCTGCAGGCGCGGGGCGCGGGGCGTGTGCCGTGTGGGATGGGAGCGGGAGATCTTGGGCGTCGCGTGCTGGCGGGGGCGATGAGTGGAGAGGCAACGGGGGTGAACAGTGGGAAACCGACCCCAGCCCCCACAACTATGGATTTTACATGTCAGGGTTTCGCACACGTATATATATATATATATATATATACAAATATATATCTGTGCAAAGCCCTGACATGTGTAATATATGTGACGGCGGTGATAAGGATGATGGTAATGATGATGATATAAATGATGATGATACTGATGAGGATTCTGAGGTTGCTGGTGGTGATGCTGGTGAAGCTGATGATACTGATGATGATCATGCTGCTGATGATGCTGATGCTGCTGATGATGATGATGATGATGATGCCGATACGGATGATAAGGATGCTGATGATGCTGGTGATGATGCATATTATGATGGTGCTGATAGTGCTGCTGCTGATGATGAGTCTGTTGATGATGATGATGCTGATGATTATGATGATGCTGTTGATGATTATGCTGCTGCTGATGCTTGGACTCTCGATGTGGCTGCTGATGCTGATTATGCTCCTAGTGTTAATGGCGATGATGATGCTGCTAGTGACGATGCTGATAGTGCTGATTATGATGCTGATGCTACTGATGCTGATGACGATGCTAAGGATGACGTCGATGATGATGATGATGATGATGATGATGATGATGATGATGATGATGATGATGATGAGGCTGCTGACGATGATGACGAGGATGCTGATGGTGATGATGCTGATGATATTGGTACTGCTGATGCTGCTGATGCTGATGAGGATGATGAGGGTGATGATGATGAGGATGATGATGGTGATGAGGATGTTGATGATGCTGCTGGTAATGTTGATGCTGATGCTCATGTCGATGATGGTGCTGCTGCTGATGATGCTGTCGCTGATGATGATAATACTGATTATGCTGGTGATGATGATGACTAGGATGATGAGGAGGACGATGTATATGCTGGCAATGAGAATGATGGTGATGCTGATGGTGATGCTGATGCTGATGCTGATGATGATGATGATGCTGATGATGATGATGCTGATGATGATGATGATGACAACGACGAGGATGATGTTGCTGATGATGATAACTATGCTGATGCTGCTGATCATGATGCTGATGTTGGCGAGGAGCAGGAGGACGAGAAGGAGGAGGAGGAGTAACGAGATGATGATGATGATGATTATGCTGATTATGATGATGATGATGCTGCTGCTGCTGATGATGATGATGATGGTGCTGACGATGATGCTGATGATGATGATGATTATGCTGATTATGATGATGATGATGCTGCTGCTGCTGATGATGATGATGATGGTGCTGACGATGATGCTGACGATGATGATGATGCTGCTGATGACGATGAGCATGACCATGATCATGGTGATGATGGTGGTGTCGATGATGCTGATGATGCTTATTATGATTGTGATTAAACGGCTGATGATGATGCTGATGGTAAGGATGATGATGACGATGATGATGATGATGATGATGATGATGATGATGATGATGATGATGCTGATGCTGATGCTGATGCTGATGCTGCTGATGATGATGATGATGATGATGATGATGATGATGATGATGATGATGATGATGATACTAAGGTCGCCGCGAGCTCAGGCCTGGATGGCGCAGCGGCCTATGGGACGCGCCCGTGCTTGTCCGAGGCTTCGGACAGGGGGCCCTGCGATGGCGGCGCTGCTCGGACGCGCCGCAGGCGTGCTCCAGCTGGAGTGCTAGGCATGGGGGACATCGAATAATCTGCTGCTGAAGGAGCCGCTGCACGCCGCCGCCATCTTCCCAGAGCCGTCGCTGATGTTCTCACCGAGCTGTTGGAGGAGGCACTCGAGCATGGCCAGGAATATTCCCCGAGCGACATTGATCAGATTCCGTGGCCTGATGACTCTGAAGTACCGACCCCCTCAGCAGGCGCAGAGACGCCACCAGCACAACTACCAGAAATTGTATCACCGCCAGCTGATGCCGCACCTCACCCACAGCCCCAACCTCAGCGAAGCAGCATTGAGGAGACGGACCGTCAGCCGCCGATCGACCCCATCGCGCCGCAGCATGCCGTCAAGCCCGTGTCCATCGTCGGGTGGAACCCGTTCACGCTCAAGGGCTCGCCTGGCCGCCTCGACGACATCAGTGACAGTTTCCGACGGTGCCAGGCGGTCATGCTCGTGGGCACTACGATTCGCCAACCTACCCCCGACACTCCGCATCATCATGACACATCTGTGGCACATCATTGGATACATTTCGGCTGGACACGTGGCGTACATACTAATGCTTTAGCAGGCTGCAGCATCGGCCTCGCGAAGAAGCCTTTTCGCAAGCAGGGTGTTTGCAAGATCATGCACCCTTGGCCAGGATTGTGAGGACGGGGGGGCCTGGTTGAAGTTCACCGAGGAGGGCTGCGTATTCGATATATCGTGGCTTACTTTGCCCCCCGCCCCACAGGAGCCAAGATCAGACAATGGAAGGACGGATGTATGCAACTATGGTCTTGGCTCATTAAGGCGATCACCGGATGCCCAGCGAGGACAACCCCCATTATTTTCACTGATCTTAATCAAAGCTTAGGTGTGCAGTCAAAACGAACCACGGACGACGCGGCTGTGGGGCCATTTCAAGCTGGGGACGAAAGTGAATTTGGCAGGCACGTACACAACCAGTTACTGTATCACGACCTTTCAGCGCTGAATTCCCACGCAGACGTCGGACACACATACTATGGCCCAAAAAAAGTCCCGATCACGCATTGACTATTTCATTGGATCTCATAACTTACGCGAGATCACTCGGAGCATCAGATTGGATTGGCGGGCGCATAAACGAGTACGTGGACTTGAGCACGTCCCCGACCATATCCCAATGGTGATGCGAATCTATATGCCGATCAACACGTCGAACCCACTTGACTCCCGAATAGTATGGGACTGGGGTGCACTTGCAGCGGGACTACAGACTGGATACAAGCGAGTAGAATTTCTCACAGATTTTGCAGCGGACCTGGAACGATATAAGCACGCTTTTCGAGTTGCCAAGATGGACCAGTTTCCGACGAGGCACGCTGCGATACTTACACACGTGATCCGCACCACGGGAGCCATTTATTACTCTCGTGAAGGACTCCGACCGCACTGGCACAGGCAAGCTCAAACGGACCGACTCCAACTACCACGCCAGCGAGCGGAAGCCCGCGAACGTGGACGTACATGCAATTCACGGATGCTATGCCGTATACAAGCTAGACTGCGGGAACATCAGAAATTGATGAATCACTGGTGGCAGGTTTCTCTTGATAATAATATTCGGCAAGCATGGGCATCGCGTGATCTATCGCGACTATCCCACTTAACTTATCTACGAGCGGGCCGACGTGCGGGCCCACGCCGACGTTTCTACCTTTCACTTCCCACGACGAGACCGTCGGCTAGCGAGTATGAGCAGGCACTGGCGGCAGATGCACCCGACGGGGGCATGGCAGCGACCTCGACACACGTGAGTCTTTATATCGACGACTCCACGGCGGCACCGCGGACGCTGGAGCATATGGACAATATGCAACCCGTGGGCGAACATATCGGCGCCCCGACCATCGAGGACCTCGAGGAAGCAAGTACCGAATAGGAATTGATTCAGAAGCGCCTGTGGCGCGAGAAGAGGAGAAGGTACAGGCCACCCTGGGTGTGGCCCATCGAGTTGACGATAATGATGCTGACGCCGAAGTTTCTTACGCGGCCTGGGCCTGATCGCACAGGGCTGGGGGATACTCAGCGCTTGCAGATCCAACCTTTGGCGGCCAGGCTTCCTCGACCTGGCCGACGGCAGCTCCAGCTAGATTCACAAATGTGTTACGCGATCATCATGGCATTTGTTGCCCTTCCCGCGCATGTGCGACGCGCGACGGAGTTGCCAGCTCAGGCGTGCGCCAGCCACGCCATCGCGATTGGCAAGAAGGGCAAGGTCCCCACGGGACGGCCTATTGAAGATATTCATCAATGTGCACGGCTCCTTCCTTGTTTCGATCACTTCTGGCGCCTCTGTTTGCGAGTTGGGCGGGTTTCATGCGGATCCTTGTCTGATGCGCCGTCGTGGGCCTACGGGGGCATTCAATCCAGGCGGTCCGAGTCTTTGATGTTGGTTGCGAAGCTGATGATTTGGAAGTTGAGAGCAGCCATCATTTCATTCCTGGCCAAAAGCTACGGCACGCGCAATGCCTTCGCCACGGGTGACCACGCACGTTTGATTGTTGCGCACGCGGTGCGCTGCGACGACGAACACTTCCATCCTCCATTGGAACAACATCGTGAGCGTGCAGCCGTTTACATCCAGGCCTCTGATGCTACCCTAGCACTTCGGCCAGGCACAGGAGTGAGGATGGGAGATTCGAATGGGCCTGAGCTCTTCATGGGGGCATTTTACCCATTAGTGGAGGAGTGGGGGCAGGAGATGGCCGAGGTGCCAGGGCAGCCTTTTCAAGTGCAGTGTCCCTTCACCGAGCAGGTTTTCCCTGGGCACATCGGCGCGTTCGTTGACGACTTATTTAAGATTCTCCTGGTCCCCGACGGGGCCGCTTACCAGGCCAGACTGCTAGACATGCTTGACAGCGCGAGCTTATCACGAGCATTACGTCGTGGGGGATATGCGCAAAACATTAGCGAGCAAGACGCCCTCGTCAGCCTGGCTAGCAGAGCAGCCACAAAAGATGCTGAGCGAAACATACCAGGCAAAGCAGTCCAGGAACTCATACATCTGGGTGGGCATATACATGTAGCACTACACTCACAGCGTGACTTACACGAACGTATCGTCTCGGGCAATATTGGGTGGAGTCGATTGGGTGACTACTGGTTCTCCAAGGGGCCTTGGAAACAGAAAAGGTTATCGTTCCCGTCGAACGTCGCGGGCCGCGTCTGGTCTGGCCTCGGGAGCTACATCTTACGCCCCCCATGAGGTACACCGGCTAGACTGCGCGCTAGCAAAAAAAGTTACGGGCCATGCTGAAAGGAGCTGCGCATCACGAAGACTCAGAGGGCCATCATCATTCCATGTCAACGCTCCAGGTCTTTCGTGGATGGCAGGTGGCCCCTACCGCCGTCGGGCTTTTAGTGCGGCGTCTCAGCTGGTGGCAGAACATTGTTGGCAACGTCAGCCACCACGGTCAGTTCCTCGCGGCCTTTTTTGGAAGATGTGAGTTTGAGAAGCAGGCGGCCAAAAGCAACCGCCCCGTCTCAGTCTCGACCCTCAACGAGCAGGGCGAGATCGACGCGCGCGCCCACCCTTGGGCGCGCCAGCTCTCGAGTGACCTCGAGTGCCTCATCTCGCATGCGATTAGTGAATCATTGAGAGAGCTGTGGCAACCGCAGACGATTGAAAAACCTTGGGGCGATGATCAGATTCGCGATGCATTTCTATATTGTGATGTACGAGCGCTTCGCGCAGGCTTCTGGGCGCGCTGGCGCCCCCCCCCCCCCCCCCCCCGAGGGAAACGGCATTCTTGAGACCGTCCCGTCCCAGACCCAGCAGGCCGAGACCGACGGCGATGCCGAGTGCGTTCGACGATTTCGATGCGGGCTCCCTGGATGCGATATGCGGTTTGTGTCCATACGGCAGCCTGTAAACCATCAAACAAAAAGCAAAGCTGAAGGGCACGGGCAGCCTCACATACTAACCACCTTGCAGTATAACAACAAGTGCATTGTATGCGATTCCACATTTCCTAATGTAGATCACGCTGTGCGACATTTACGACGAGCATGGATACAAGGTAGGTGTATTGCGGAACTCACGCATCATGGTTATCCATGGATGCCCTCATCATGTACAACATGCCCATTATCGGAATATCAAGTGGGCACTGCATGTACACTCGAATTTCATGACCCTGTTAAGCTACGTCAGCATTTACGCACCCGCATCCCTCCGGCGCCATCGGGTTCTCTGCTCAAGAAGGTATCGCGCAGAGAGGTGGAGAGCACAACCACCCAGCATCCGCGTGGGCCTCGCTGCGCCGCCTCCTCCCCGTCTTTCACAGACAGTGCAGGACGCATTGGCGGCCGGGCTCGAGCTGCGACGGGCCGCGGGTCGACTGCTACTCGCGCCGCGAGAGAAGGCGTCCACGCGAAGGAGACCGCCCAGTGCTGGACTTTCGAGAGCTCATCCCATAGCAGGTATTTCGACGTCCTCTGCGCCGACGCGGGCCAGGTTTGCAGCAGCGACCCCGGCACTCCCGCCACCGCCAGCCGCGCCTCCACCTCCTGAGCCTGAGGATGAGCGAGAACGAGCAGCCGCCAGCGAAGGCCCCTGCGCCCCCTGCACGAGCAGCGCGGCGCCACCCCCTGGGCCCCCCCCAGGGCTCGCGAGGGCCAGGGCAAGACTCGGCAGCAAATGCAGCGGGGGCCCCGCCACCATCGGCACCTACACGACGCTGTCCAAGCGCGCGGTGATCAGCCACATCAGCGCCGAGCTGGAGGGGTACATGGGCCTGCTCGACTCCCTGCGGTCGCAGGGCGCGGAGGGCAAAGCGAGGATGAAGCAGATCGGCCCCCCCGCGGCCAGCCCGGCGCTGGCGGCCCTGGAGGGCCTCATGGAGTGCGCCATTGGCGGCGGCACCAAAAACGAGATACGGACCTACCTGCGCAAGTGCTCCCCCGAGGGCGCGGGGGCGGATCCCGACATCGACAAATCGGACCTGGAGGTCGCCGTCAGCTTCATTCGCCTGGAGAGCTGCTACGACACGCAGAAGATGAAGGTCATCGTGGGCGCCCCCAGCTGGGAGGGGCGCGCTCTCATCCAGAGGGCGCTTGAAGGCAGAGGCAGTCGCGACTCACCACAAGGGGGTAGCCCCTGCAGGCTGGCTCGAGGACGAGGTGGGCCATTGGCTGGAGACGATCAGCGACAGCCTCTAGAGCCCGTTAGATTTGTGAGTGGAGGTTTTTATTTACCAGCCTCGAGCGCTGTCCCAGCGACGGCGACCTCTGCCCACGCCTCGCCCAGCGAGCCAGGCTCGGAGCCAGGCCCTGGTTTGCCAGCGCAGACTTCCGACCCCGAGCCTTTCGATGACTATGAGGCCGAGGACCTCGTCGCAACACAGTTTTATTCATAGCTTCGCGCCCATGCCGCTAGGCCCCCGCTGTGATCAGCACCCTGGTGGCACCGCTCTGGGCAGCACTCGAGAGTCACCGCTCTCGGCGATGAGCCTCAATTTTTTGCGAGATGATATGCATGATTATCTCCTGTCTTTTGGCTCTGTCGCCGTTGGGAAACATGATCGTGGTACTGATCAAAATGATGATGATGATGACGATGGTGATGATGATGACGATGATGCAGATGATGATGACGATGATGATGGTGACGATGATGATGATGCTGCTGACGATGATGACGATGGTGAATAAGCATATGCTGATGATGAGGAGGAGGCGGAGGAGGAGGAGGAGGAGGAAGAGGAGGAGGAGGAGGAGGAGGAGGAGGAGGAGGGGAAGGAGGGAAAAAGGAGGAGGAGACTGAGGTGGAGGAAAAGGAGGAGGATAATGAGGAGGAGGAAAAGGAGGAGGAGGAGGAGGAGGAGGAAAAGGAGGGAGGAGGAGGAGGAGGAGGAACAGGAGGAGGAGGAGGATAAGGAGGAGGAGGAAGAGGAGGACGAGGAGGAGGAGGAGGAGGTGGAAGAAGAGGAGGAGGAGGAGGAGGAGGAGGAAGAAGAAGAGGGGTGATGATGAGGAAGAGGAGGAGGAGGAGGAACAGGAGGTGGAGGAAAAGGAGTAAGGGGAGTAGAAGGAGAGGAGGAGGAGGAGGAGGACGAGGAGGAGGGAGGGGAGGAAGGAGGAGGAGGAAGAGGAGGAGGAGGAGGAGGAGGAGGAGGAGGAGGAGGACCAGTGGACACCAAAGAGATCAAACATGTTGGAATACATCGTCCCTCCAAGGTCTCTCTTTCATAGGCCCCTATAAGGGTTCATTTCCTCCGAGGGGACTTCCTCGTTGGGAGAGAACCGTTTGAAGAACCTGAAGCGTGCCAACACATTACATTCGGGACTTTAGCGCCACGAATCAACATGATTGTTGCGTTTTGCAGTCCTGAGCCCTGCCAGAACACCATTCTTGTGACTTCAGCACCTCGAATCAACGTAACTGTTGCGCCCTCACAACTTTGAGTCTTTCCAAAACACAAGTCCTGGCACGTTGACAGTGGGAATCCGGGAAACGCTGGTAAAGTTAAAACACGAATGTGCGCGGCGCGAAGGTGAGAACCGCATTTTGAAAACAAGCCGCCAGTGCAAGTCTTGCATTGCTTTAGACGAGTGTGCGCGGCGGTGAGGCGAGAGTTACATTTTGGAAGCCACCCGCTCTCCGTATGTGAAGCTCTTGCAATGTTATGAAAATGTTCGCGGCGTTGAGGCGAGAGTCACTTTTGAAAACGGCCCGCCCTCAATCCGTGAAGCTCGTGCAATTTTTAAGAAAGAATGCGCGCGGCGCTAAGGCGAGATCCACATTTTGAAAACAGCCCGCCCTCAATCCGTGAAGCTCGTGCAACTCTTAAGATCGAGTGTGCGCCGCGCTAAGGCGAGACCCACGCTGGAAGCGACCCGACCTCCATCTGTGAAACTGCTGCCAACTAAGCTTCAGGGTCATACATGGTGTGGAACTCTTTAGGCGAAACGACAGGCCCGCCCGGCCTCGGGGTGCGTCAGGGACGAGTTATGTATAATGAGAAGGCATGGAGAAGGCAGACGGGGAGGAGGAGGAGGAGGAGGAGGAGGAGGAGGAGGAGGAGGAGGAGGAGGAGGAGGAGGAGGAGGAGGAGGACGAGGAGGAAGATGAGAAGGAGGACGATTGGCGGGAACTGGATAAGGGGAAGGAGGAGGAGGAGGGGGAGGAGGAGGAGGAGGAGGAGGAGGAGGAGGAGGAGGAGGAGGAGGAGGAGGAGGAGGAGGGGGATGAGGGGGAGGAGGAAGAGGAGGACGAGGATTTGGAGGGTGGATGGGGAGGGAGAAAGGGAGCGGAAGTGGAGGGGGAGGGGGAGGGGGTGGGGGAAAGGGGAGGGGGAGGGTGAGGAGGAGGAGGAGGAGGAGGAGGAGGACCAGTGTAAACCCAAGAGTCATCAACGATGTTGGAGGAAACCC